CTCCTAGCCACCATAAGCGAGGGCAGTACAGTCCGGGCCGGCCTCTCGCTAGCCGCAGCGCTTGAGGGACTCCCGATCGGTGTTCCAGCGCACATGCCGTGGCAGCTGCAGCGGGTCGGTCCGGCCCGAGCCGATCCCGTCACGGGCACGGCTACGGTCACGGTCACGGATCGCTCCCGGGGTCACGGGTCGGTGGCGGTGGCACTGGCCGGGGTGTGCAGTACGGTGACCGGTCCCGGGCGACACCGGCCGGCCGTCGTGGTCACGTCTCCGCCCCGTGCGGTGCCGGGCTGGCGCTCGCTCGCTTTCCGCCGGCTCGTTGTCGGCCAGCGCCGACTGCAGAAGGAACCTCACAGTTCCGTGTTCCAACAAAAAATGTTCCATCCGAGTGGTTCTTCATTGTTGGATCTGTTAATGAGCTGATTGTTTCTCGAGAAAATGGCAGGAGACACACTGGGCAAAGTATTGTTGTAAATGGCTAATTACGATGTCTGATGATGGCTGTTCCTAATGTCAAATGATTTATGTCTCGACGATCTAGACCCGGTTTGGTAATTCTTTTGCGGAGGTCATGAGCTGGTCAGTTCACGTGCTCGTGTGTTGGGAAGATTTAGCTCCGGAACTGTATCTCCTTGAACCGACAAGAGGATTACGGCGTTTTAATAGAATTTGCAAGCATTGTCAAGAAAAGGAGCTCAGCGTTCTACCTGTAAAAAGTGAATGGTTTGCAGGATTAATTTAATGCCCACAAGTCATGAAGCAAAGCTTTGCCGAACCGAATAAAGCTTATTCCCGGACTTAACTGCAATGGGGTACATGCAAAGAGAATGGTTTCTCGCGTACGTCCCTAACTCCTTATCTTACAGCTCCCGGGTCGGGAAATGCCGCAACCCCACCTCTTTTCGCAAGTCCGATGGCATCTCTGCAGTATTTCGACATAATGGTTCAAGTATAGCCGTTGTTGATATCCTTTCGCAACGCCAATATTGATTGAAGAAGTACTTTCTGCATCTGAGAGCGGCATGACTTTTGTTTTTGCAGGAATCGTTGAGTCGTGATAAGATAGGAACAGCCGGCAATTCGCACACAATTGGTAAAAGTCCAACATTAACCAACTGTGGTGCATTAAAAAAGGACATGACCCTGGTCCAATTGGTAAAGTTTGGCAGGCTGGAAAAGTTCACAGATGGAATGGAGAACGCAAGCAATCCGACCCTCACTGTTGTTGCGACGGTGCTTCTAGAGCTAGATCATGTACGAATGATCTCCAGTGCATCGGCCAATACCGTGTAGAGTTATGTAAGAGCTGTAGATGTCGTGCCACGACATTCGATGACTAAGGCTGGCGGTGTTAAACCGATGATTTCCTTCTCGCAAGAGCACCATCTCTTCCAACTCCAACCATCGTCATGTGCAAGCCCCCCGCTGGTAAGTCGACGAACACAAGAGCAGATTTGGAAAAGGCCGGCAAAAGTCTCGATTGTCGGGAGTCCTGCAGCACACCGAGCCCACCAACCTCCGCTATGGCGGCGTCCTGTTGACCGCACTTGCTGTGCAGGTAGCCTCGCCCTGCACCCACTGACGCCCTCATCCAACGCTCTGCAGAGACCGGACCGGCACGGCCCGGCCACAACGAAGCTTTGATCGCCGACGTCGATAACAGTCGGCGGCAGGAAAATCCACTGGCAATGCGCGATCCGGCCCCAAAAATGGCGTCGGCCGGGCCGGTTTGTCCGGCGCAATCGCACTGCACGTTTTCCTGGCCCATGGGCCGCGGGTCTATTTGCCGGCTCGATTGCAGTTTCTGAGGCAATTCAATCAGCATCTGGTGCTGTGGAGCTGGCGAATGAGACGGTGGGTGGCCGTCGGCGGCACGACCGGCCGTAACCAGACGCCGACCGCGCCGGTCGCGGCGCCGCTCCCCTGCGAATTACGTGGAGCAAGGTCGGGTCAAGGCACACCATCGTCAGCTAGGGAGAGGGCGTCTCGCCGGCGACGCCCCAGGGCCCGCCGCGGCGCCGTGCGGACCCTGTCGTCCCGTTGACCTGCTGGGAGTGTTAGCCGGCCCTGTCTGCTGTGTCGGATCCGGCCGCCACACCTGGAGCTGTCTTCTGGCGGTATTTACCGGTCCCGTCCGGCACCGTGGTCTTTCAGCTCAGCGCGGATCGCGCCGTGTGGCTTACACGATAGCGTTCCCGCAGCTTTTGATATTGGCTAATCACTGGATTTTCAAGTACGCCACCTGCCCTGTGTACGGATTACTTTTCACTGAAATCGTCTCAAGGCACATAGCTGGTATCTTAAGTCATGCTGCTCAAAATGGTTGAGAACAAACCAGCCTACCGGCTCGGACATTAAGAAGGAAATCTCATTATTAAATACCTATCAATGAACATGTACAAAGTACCTTGACCTACTGAGTGCATTCGGCTTACGCCAATGCAAATAGGTAAAGGGACGACATCATCTTTCTAAATAGCGTTGTGATTGTATGAATGGGTCCCGGATCACGTCCAGGCGTCGGGCAGCCAAAGTCGAGGCAAGTGGATATGGCGCTGAATGCCGCTCGGCTCACCGTTGCGTGGAGCGTCGTAGCCCGCCCCGAGTTGGCCCCTGATGACGTCATTAATCCGGTCAGCCCTGTCCAGCCGGTGCACCCCGCGTGGCCGGCTCCGGTCTGTCCGCTCGGCGCTCACGCCGACCGCAAGCGTGCTATTGCGCAACCCAACGGTGGTTAGCGACGCCACATCCTGCGCCCGTGGCATTTGGCCGGTGCGGGCGAGCTGCTGGGTTAGCGGGAACGTGAGCGACCCCCATCCCCCTCCGCCCACACGGGCGCCGTAAGTCAGCTGGCGGGTGCGGCGCCGGCAGGGGGCACTGCACGCCGACGGCATGGCGTGTTTGTTACGCATCGGCCCGGTTCAAGGTGACCCCGGAGCCCGGCGGTAGAGTCCAGCTGGCGGTCGTGTCGCGGAGGCGGCGGGGCGGGTCTCCCGCGCCGGACCGGGCGCCAGCGGCCGCAGCGGTCACTGCCGAGAGCTCGTCCCGGATGTGCGGAAACAGCGCGATCCAGGCTACGCACGGATCCCTGTCGCCCTACCCCTTTCATCGCGTCCCGTAAGGCTCAAATTCCGCAGGGGGAAGCCGCGACTATCAACGGTAAACACGACTGTTTGTGCTTCCCGGTATTCGGGGGAGGCGAGCACCCTATCGTAGGTAGCCCCGTTCCCTCAACTCCCCTTCGCAGGTCGAGCGTGGAAAGGTTGCCCCGAAATGGCCGGGCTAAATTTAGCCGGGCTTCATTACTTCCTGCTGGGGAATGGAGGGCGGTGGAACGGCTGGCCGTCGCTGACCTCTTGTTTTGAAAATCTGGAGCGTTCGCGGAGAGTGGGGGGGGGGGGGGGGGGCGGACAGTACGCCGCCACCTGGAAGTGAAAGCCGCCCTGCGAATCCATGTTTACGCCGGTGCGGGCCGAACACTTCCTGCGAGAACGCGTGTGACCGGGCGGCTGGCCCGCCGCTGCTGCTGCCGCCGCCGCCGCCGCCGCCGCCTCCTCCTCGGTACACGGCGGCGGGTCACGGTCGCTGCGGGGTCCTCCCGAGCCGAGGCAAATTACGGCCCGTGACCGCCTCACGCACGTCCGCGGGCGGCCCGACAAGGCTGCGAGGTGCGCCCCGAGCCGCCATTTCCTGGGCGCTCAGGGTCGAGCGGGCAATGTGCGTGCGTGCCGGGCCTCGAGCGCTGCGGTATCCCCCGGCGGCGGCAAGGAGGGCCAATTTCGTCGAAGTTCGACGGGAAACGAGTGTGAACACGTTTATGATTATGAAGTCTGGCAAATCTGGGTGATGAACAAAAATCAGCAGATCGACCGCAACTGAGGGACCAGTTGTGCTTACATAAAGAGCCCATGCTGCCATCACACGACGGATGACCAGAATAACGCATACTCGCATTTGGCATTCATTCGTGAACAACCTCAAGGTAGGCAGAGACGGCAATCAGATCCAAGTAGACGGATTACAGCACAGACTGTCACTGAGATGATGACGGTGTTCCCCACTGTCCCAGCTACGTAACAAAGCCTCTGCCCGCGCATCACGATAGGAATACCGACACGTAGGTCATAGATCAATGTTTCAGTCAATAAGCCATTCTTCGTCAACTTCGTACATGGGACAGCCGGTTTTAACAATGCCCATACGAGGCTACGTAACTCTTTTCAAATCTGAATGCTTAGAACGTCTCGCTTGCACTGTTTATCGCTACTCTCGGCATGCCTTCCCCGTGACGTGCAGACTGCAGAATCCCGATCCCGCAACGCACGCTCAGACGTATTGCACCCATCGCGATGCAACCCTGTTGACCTTCTCTCCGTGACAAGTATCTATTTATCTCTCCCGCGTGCGATCCGTCGTGACGGCGTACCGCAGAGAGATGGCGCCACCCTGGCCGACAGGTATCTGCCAAACTGCAAATGGAATGGGGAATTAATATTCTTTGTCGGCGTCGACATTTCCGCCGGTGCATCTCATTATCTGGCGGTCGCCGTGAAGCTAGACGCCTCATGTTCGCGTGTCGCAGGAATTGCTGAGCCCACAACAGGCGTTCGAAAGCGAGGCTGCAAACCTCGTCAGCCGTCAAGGGGCACTGCGGCGCCCTCTTCACGACCTGGCGGTGCTGCTGCCGGGGCTACGCCCCAGCTCCCCCCCCCCCCCACAGCCCCCCTAACTCGCCGCTTCTCTACCGCAGACGCCTCCAGTGCTGCTGGCTCCGCCTTCGACTGGGCGCTGAAGCTGGAATGGATGCGGCCGTCCGCGTCACGTTCGCTGCAGGAGCAGCAGCGGCGCCGCCAGGCCGAGAATGTCGAGGCCGTCAGCCGGCGCCTGCAGGAGGCGCGCGTGCACGACGAGCCGGACGAGGACGAGCCGCTCGTGCGCGCGCCGGCCGAGCGCGAGGCCGAGCCGGAGCGGGCGGCGGCGCGGCACACCGAGGAGCCGGCGCCGCCGCCGGCGCCGACCGAGCCGAGCCGCGCCATCGACCTGTCGGTAGGCGCGCACCCCATCAGCTGCTTCCCGTCGCTGGCGCCGCCGGCGCACGCGCGCCACTCGGTCATCACGCACACGCCGACCGTACCGAAGAAGCGGCCCTTCTACCGCCGCGACCTGGTCAGTGCGCGTGTCCACATCGACTCGCCGCCGCCGAAGAAGAGGCCGATGAACCTCCGCGTGCCGCGCAATGGCCTGGCGCCGATGCAGACGCCACTAGGGTCGGGCAACAATCCGCTCTCACCGACGCCCGGGTCGCCCTATCGCTCCGGCGGCGGCGGGGGAGGGGGCGGGGGCGGCGGCGGCGGCGGCGGCGGTCCAGGCGAGCAGGGCTCGCCGGGTAACAACATGAACAATCGCAACTCCAACGGCAGCGGTATGCACTTCAACACGGGCGGCGGCGGCTTCAATGTGGGCCTGCTAGGCTGCAAGACGGAGCAACCGGATGACACGTACGAGAGCGGCCGCCACTCACCGAAGCAGTACCAGACGCTGCAGTCGGCCGACATGGACACCTACCTAGGTGGCTACATCGACCTACAGGTGGAAGGGTGCAAGCCGCCGCCGCAGCCGCCGCCAGCGCAGTCGTGGAGCGTGCACTCAACCAGCGGGCCGCTGCCGCGCCACGCGCCGCTACCGTTCGGCTTCGGCGGCACCGAGCCGTTCAACTTCGCCGACCCGTACGAGCTGGACATCGAGCTGTTCGCCGACACGAAGCCGACGGTAAGCGCCGGCGGCGGCCTGCTCACCGACAGCCACGACCTGTTCGGGCTGGAGCAGCTGCTGCAGCCGACGGGCACGGCGGCCGCCGGCGGCCCGCAGGCGGAGCTCTCGCACCAGACGGTCGTCGACGCGCTCGGCGAGGCGACTGCGCTGCCGGCGCTCTCCGAGCCGGTCGTGTCGTCCTGCCTGGCCGACGCCGTGTACGACGGCAAGTTCCTGGTGACGGGGCCGCACGGCGGCGCGGCGCCGCCGCAGCCGCAGCTGGCCGTGCAGCCGGCGCAGCAGCCCGAGTCGTCGACTGCGCAGCTGTCGCCCGCCTCGCCGGCGACGCACGGCGGCCGGTGCTCGCCCACCTCGCCCGGGTCGTCCAGCGGCGACCAGATGGCCGAGGGCATGCCTGCGCTCGACATCCGCGTCAGCATACTGCAGCAGCGGGTGAGTGCGCGCTGGAGGTGACGGTGTGTGTGTGTCTAGGGGAGAGGGGCTGCGGTTCAGTACGGCGCGGCTGGATGGGAAAGAGATCACCGCCGGCGCTCGCGGGCGGTGCATGCCAGCTGGGAAATTCCGCTGGAGCATTGAGAACAAATATCGTGACTCTCCGATCTCTTGTCTTGAGTATTATCGATCGAACTTCGGAATCGGCTTGGAAACAAGAAAACAAGGGCATTACAAAGGCGCGATGCAACGCAGCGATGCTTATGCAATGGCATGCTTCAAAATGTACAGTAAATGCGCAGAGAACCTGAAGCTCTCTCTAACAACATCCGTTGATCACCGGACCGATGCCTAACCGTCAGTGGAGTGTCATCGGGTCTTGAAACAGTGCCGTGGCTCAACCGGCTTCTGCCGAGGGTGACAGCTTTGTCTCATCTCGACACGGATCGTTCCTCGGTAGGATGGACCAAGATGCAGCGATGCCCAGTGCTACGTCGTAAAACTAAATGTCAGAAACACTTGCAGCTGCCCAGATATTTAGGGACCGCATCTGACGTTTCTGGGGTCCAGGCTAGGCCTGTGAATTGCTCCGGGTAAAGAGTCTTGGTCATAGCAGCATACAGTTTTCAGCTTCGCATAGGTCAGTGTGTGGAAGTGGAATGTTACGTAACGGAGGCTGCGACGCAGGGAAATACGACCAAATTTCCTTAAGAAAGAAACAAAATTTTCCATAGACTATCAGGATCTCAGCGAAACTGCTGTCTAAGTTATTGATCTGACATAGACAGGCTGGTATCGCCAACCTCTATCACCCGTAACATGGGCCCCCGTCGTGATGCCAAGCTGGCCTCAATAGTTGACATCCCATTCTGACACAGTGTGAGGCAAGAATGCCATCTGAGACTGAGATTTTATCGGCGGTCCACCCCCTGCCCGCCTCTCAGCCCGTCTGCGAGGGCGGCTTTGGCCGGGTTGTTAGACATTTTTGCTGCGCTTAGTTGGACGTAACGTACGGGGAGCGTGACGGGGCCTGCAGATCGCAGCCGATTAGGCTGCAAAACATCCCCAGTTTTAAGCAGAAAGGCCTGGGTTTGACCGCAATCCGTGCACTGGTAAGTTCCTTAGAACGGCTGAGCCGCAAACTTTTGTGGTGAGGACAATGACTTGACGCTCAGCTGGACACGGTACGGGCTGATGGAGTGGCAGGTATTGTAACGCAACATTTACGCTTGATTTTGTACGGTGGAGCGAATATCTACGAATGCGCTAGCAAATGAATGCTGTTGGTGCCTGGTTCAAAGATATCTTGCAACGATTCAAACGTATTCATGAGCCAGATCAGGGTGAAGTCCCCACCAGTGAAGTTGCTTGACGGAGTAACGACGCTTAGGCCAGCTGTCCCGTCTGTTTCACCCAAACACCATTTACCTGAAATGGCCATCAGCATTATGCCGCTCTGGTTTTCACTTTGCCCCAACTGAACATTCTGATATGTTCTGACCGCCGTCAAAGGAACTTAACTCGTCGAAGCCTTCTGTATCGCGTGTGTTGCGGAACAACAGTCTTGTTATCGTCGCCCGCCCCAGAGCCGGCCTGATCGGCATATCAGCCGCTCACGCAGACATTGCCGCTGAGGCTTATCTGCAAAGCCATCTGCTCTCTTCTTGCACAGGTATAATTCGCCCAAAATGTGTGCGGAAAGTGGCGTCTGTACCAGGCGATGTCCTTCCACGTCATTGGCGCCAGTTCATACATATAGAGAAAGGCACACAGTAAACCACACGATTTCTTGTTTCTGCAGATGGGACTGCCAGATTCGCATAGCTTCGAGTTCGTGAACGGCGGACACGGCATCAAGAACCCGCTGATCAACGAGCGAGACCTGGAAGTGGAGAAGCTGCCACCTATCAGTGAGTACCACGACTTCGATTTGGTCGACAGATGGCGCTGCGGTCGCCGGGTGAATGAACGCGAAAGACCCAGAGTGGCGCTGCTTCCTGGAGGTAATTACCGAGACGAAGCGGAGCTTCCGCGCCGGCCGCGCGGCCAACTGTGACGACGCCGTGGAAGCATACTCCGTGAATGAGAACGGCGTACCTAGTACGTCTGGCATAACGGACCTGGGCTCGAGGGCCGGAGGGGCTCTGGGGTCCGCACAGGGGTTGTGGAAGCAGCCTTTTCGGCGTCTGCCTCGAGGCTTAGCGCATGCGTTATTCATCCCAGTGTTTGGTAAACTCCGATGTTCGGGTAAAACCCGCCGGAGGCCATCAGGGCTCGACCGATATCTCGAGGATAATTCAGTTTGGCGATAGCTTAGTATAGCGATCCCACTCCAATAGCTTGGCACAGCCATCCCACGCTGTCCATATGCTGGCCGTATGGACATCACCATCGCCGAAAGCACTCACTGCTCAACACGCGTATTCCCTGCCACGATATGAGAGTGGCAGATTTGAGCTGAAAGAGAACGATCTCCATCAGCTTAAAGCCCTGTCGACATGACAGACAACGGTCTGCTCCTTGAAATCACTTACATGTCTTCGCGAAGGGCTTTAAGTGTCCCATGGCCAGTCCGCACTTGACTTCCCATACTTTTTCCCTAATGACAAAGCTGTTGAGTTTCCAATGCATGTCTTTCCTGTGTTACATGATAGTTCTTGGGATCTGTAAATAATTGCATAAATCTCGCTGCTCCATGGTAAACGCGTACTGACGGGCGGCTTCGCCTCCTCCAGTTGTCGAGGACGACCCCAAGACCTACATGTGCCGCCTCTGCTCCAAGAAGTTCACTCTGCAGCGGCTGCTGAACCGGCACATGAAGTGCCACTCGGACGTCAAGCGCTACCTCTGCACCTTCTGCGGCAAGGGCTTCAACGACACCTTCGACCTGAAGAGGCACACTCGCACCCACACCGGTACGTGGCGCGCCCGCCCGGCAGCCCCCCCCCCCCCGCCCCCCGACAGCCCAGCCGAACATCCGGAGGTGTGGCCAAATACCCGGGGTCCAGACAGGGCGAGCACCTTATTTGGCAGCGCCCGGCGGCTGCGACGCTGAGTCACGCCGCCGCAGAAGCAGTTGCAGCTTTTTGCTGGTTTGCACGGTCTTTCCAGGCTGCTGGGCCCCCTTTGACGTAGTCTTTCCCATGGTTTGCGCTATGTATGACGTGCACAGGAACTTTTTCGGTGTTACTGCAGACACCCGTGAGGGATCACAGCTAACTTCTGTACCTCTGCAGAACAGATGGCCTGTGCGATGAGGTCATAGAATTCGTATATTGATGACATGTACAAACTCGTCTGCACCCTGCTATGCCATTGCTAAATGTTTATATTATATATATATATATATATATATATATATATATATATATATATATATATATATATATATATATATGGACCCATAACTGGCGCACCAGCGCAGTCAGCGGGTAGCGAAGAGTGGGAGGAGATATAGGTTTTCAGGGGTGACTGCAGCAAAGCTATGTGCGGCCCCACTACGAACATACGTCTCCACAGAGACGCCACACGTAATACCACCGTGAGAAAATTCACACGGGTTTTGTCGATGCGGCCCACGACAAGCACAAGCCACGCCGCGATCGCCGGGCAGGGTTATGTGTAGCTAATGTTCCGTTCCTCCGCAGGTGTACGGCCCTACCGGTGCGTCATGTGCGAGAAGTCGTTCACGCAGCGCTGCTCGCTCGAGTCGCACTGCCTGAAGGTGCACGGCGTACAGCACCAGTACAACTACAAGGAGCGGCGCAACAAAGTCTACGTGTGCGAGGAGTGCGGCAACACCACCATCGAGCCTGAGGCGCACTACTTCCACCTCAAGGACAACCACCCCAACAGCCCTGCGCTGCTCAAGTTCTACGACAAGCGGCACTTTAAGTTCCACAGCAATTTCGCCTCGATGCTGCTGCAAGCGCGATCGTAACTGCGGCCGCTGGCCGCCAGGGGCGCTGGTGTGCGCGCTCCGGCCGGCAGCCCGGCTCAGCGGGCAGCGCCCCTGTAGCGTGAGTGACTGGACCATGACAGCGCCGCTCCCAGCGGGAGCGGGCGGCTGCGTGCAGCACGTGGAGCGGCGGCAATATTTGCACATAACTGGCTGTTTTATATCTATTTACCTGGCGAGGTAGCTCGCAGTCTGTACAGCACCGTTCGAGGCATTGTCTGAGTGGCGCGGGTGGCGACTAGTGACCTGTTGTAGGGTGCGCGCGCGCGTGTGTCGAATGCGAGCTGTGCGAGTGCCGGCGGCGCGTGCTGGGCGTCCGCCGGATCATACCAAACGTCTCGCGGGTTGTGAGCGGCTGCCAGCCGCGTCGGGGCGGCCGCCGCGCAGCGAGAGGGACTTCAGCCGGGGTATTTCTCGACGGTGGATGGCCGATCGTGAGCGTGCGTGCGTGTAACGAACCGCGCGCGGTGCGAACTCTTTGTAAGTGGTCTAGGTAGCTAGCCGATAGCGTCGCGCACGGCGACAAGACTGTGGCCTCCTCCTGTCCGTCTGTCCGGAATTCGGCGGTGGACCGCCTCGGTAGCCAGCGCCGGCGGCCGACCGTCGCCACGGCAGCGGCGCGCGTGCTCCCAGACAGACCGTTCGTTCGCGAACAGCCCGTCGGCCGGCGCACGTGCCGTGCCCGTCCCGTCGCCGAGCCGGCCGGCGCCGCTCTCCCGGCGGGGGGCGGCAGCGGCCCGCTGGCGGCAGGAGCGGGGGGCGCCGGCTCACTGATGCGGTCCGCCGCGGTCCGCCGCCGCCGCCGGGCGGACCGGGCCGGGCGGACCGGACACAAGCGCGGGCGTGAGCTGGTCTGGCGGTGGGGGTCAGCGTTGTACTAGCCAAACGAGGGCATTCGAGTGGAGGAGCGAGAGACGCGACCGGACGGCTCGCCGCCTGCCCCGCGCCGGACTCGACCCGGCTGTCCTGGGGACGCCGGCCGGCCCCGGCGCGCCGCGTGCGCCCGCCGGCCGGCCGGCGCCTGCCCCAGTACAAAGGCGCAGCGCGGCCGGTCCCGCTGGCCAGGACAGCCGCCGACCAACAGCCGGCGGACGGCCTGTTGTTGTTCTTTGCATGTTCAGCAATAAATTTATTAGCGTTACGACGTGGTAGAACGTTGAATGACAGAGACGTTGGAGGTGAGTGCCAGGCATCTGTTAGAGCTCGCGGATGACGGGAAAACGTGCGCCAGAGAGCACTTGCCAAGAGACGCGCTGACCGAATCAAAAAGTGCTATAAGCATGATGTGTCAAACGGACAGTGCCGGCCAGCATTTGTATGCGTCTTACCAATGACAGACCTAACAGTATTTGGTGAGAGCTACACTCCACTACCACAAACGGCGCAAGCGCACCCATGCTGTGGTCGCATAGCCTCTGCCGCATAAACCTTCACCTGAAACCGTGCGGAACGGAATGTATAAAAGCGTGTGGGTTAAATGGCACGTCTATTTTTATTTATAGTTGGACAATGGACTGCAAGGTTGATAAGATCTACCAGCATGTAAAGAAAGACAAAAAGCCGCGGCAAAAATCACTCAGTGGGCACAAATCCCACCTAGACAATCGGCGCATTCTTTCGTTTTTAAGGAGCGGGGTATCGTCACGGTCAATGACAATCAGATAAGCGTTAAGCAACCACAAGGGGTTGCCAGCTCGGAGCACTAGAAAGCAGTCAGTCATATAGGACACAGACACGATGACCTGTCGCTGGCGCGGGCGCGGCCCGACTCCCGGTCCACCACGTCATCTCGGGAACTCCGCCATGACAAACCACTCCTTCATCAGCGCGCACGAACGCACCCGCGTGCAGAACCAGGCCCGGCATTGAGCACGAGTCTGTTGGACAACCGGGGTGGCATGCCACATGAGGTGATGTGGCCGGCCCAGCTGGCGCTCTTCGCCGAGCCCACCTGGCTGCAGGTGACCGCTGGGGTTGCCAGATGCCGAGCCCACCTGGCTGCAGGTGACCGCTGGGGTTGCCAGATGCCGAGCCCACATGGCTGCAGGTGACCGCTGGGGTTACCAGATGCCGAGCCCACCTGGCTGCAGGTAACCGCTGGGGTTGCCAGATGCCGAGCCCACCTGGCTGCACGTGACCCGCTGGGGCTGCCAGATGCCGACAGAGAACTGGTTTGACAGTTGTGGGGCTCCTTTGCGAGCCATGCAACTGCTGTCACCCTAAACGTCACGAACGTTTACCCTGATTACAGAGGATGACGCCGGAACACAGCCAGCAGCGCGTCTTGACCCCACTTCCCTCCGGTTGTAGCACGAGCGTTCCATCACACCACCGAGCTGGGGCGTCCCGCTGGCTGGCCGGCCGCAGCCCTCCGTACCCACGCCGTGACTCCACGAGCCTCTGAGTACCCGGGGGTCCTGGCACCAGGTCACCGTCGTTCGTCTGGGGCACTTCCCGACGTTGTCGCGCCAGCGGGCTTCGTCTGCACGCATGACTTTCGTTCTGTTTGTCGCGTCCAGCCCTCCAGACGTCTAACGTTTCCCACCTTAGTTGTCCCTGGATTCTGTTTAAAGACGTTGTTCGGATAAGAAGGTTCAGTTATTTAAGGTTCCAGGATTTTCAGGCCGAAGGTAAGCTGCTGACACTTTCTGCCATAAGGCATTCCAAATTGAAGGTGGGGCACATATTACATAAATGCTTGTGTCATCAACAGCCACAACGCTTGTCAATCAAAGCAATCATTAAGGAGGACTTCTTTTACTCAAAATTGGCATATCTGACTAAAATCTTAAATTTGCTTCAAGTTGTTTCTCCCCACAAAGGAGAAGGGGCTCTAAATAAAGTCATCCATAAATCTCGAACATGCGGGGGCATTGTGAAAGCAGTCTACAAGCAGAGACATACTCGCCTGCAATAGCCTCAAGAGCCCTACCTCGCTGTTTATATGCGCGACGCATACATAAGCCCATCATAAGCACAACCAACGCTCACGTGAGAAACACAAGAGCTGCAGGAGCACGCGATCCTGCACTTGACTTGGCACTTTCCCTCTCCGATACTGAGCGGTGAGTTGCTGACTGCAGATCTATCCCGCCCGATGTCGTCACGTCTCAGCGGCGCTGTGGACGGCGATCTCCCGCGCTGTGGACAGCGCTCTCCCGCGCTGTGGGCGGAGCTCTTCCCGCGCTGTGGACGGAGCTTTCCCCACACGGTGGACGGCGCTCTCCCGCGCTGTGGACGGAGTTCTTCCCGCGCTGTGGACGGAGTTCGCCCCGCGCTGTGAACGGCGCTCTCCCGCACTGTGGACGGAGTTCTTCCCGCGCTGTGGACGGAGTTCTCCCCGCGCTGTGAACGGCGCTCTCCCGCGCTGTAGACGGAGTTCTCCCCGCGCTGTGGACGGACGACACCCTGCGCTGTGGAACGGACCTCTCCGCGCGCTGTGGACGGATCTCTCCCCGCGCTGTGGACCGAGTTCTCCCGCGCTGTGGACGGACCTCTCCACGCGCTGTGGACAGAGCACTCCCTGCGCTGTGGACAGACCTCTCCACGCGTTGTGGACGGATCTCTCCCCGCGCTGTGGACGGAGGTCTCCCCGCGCTGTGGACGGAGCTCTCCCTGCGCTGTGGACGGACCTCTCTATGCACTGTGGACGGAGGTCTCCCCGCGCTGTGGACGGAGGTCTCCCCGCGCTGTGGACGGAGCTCTCCCTGCGCTGTGGACGGACCTCTCCACGCGCTGTGGACGGAGGTCTCCCCGCGCTGTGGACGGAGCTCTCCCTGCGCTGTGGACGGAGCTCACCGCCCGCTGTGGACGGAGCTCTCCGCCCGCTGTGGACGGAGCTCTCCGCCCGCTGTGGACGGAGCTCTCCTTGCGCTATGGTCGAACCTATCTCCGCCACTAGCGACGGACCTCTCCCCGCGCTGTGGACGAAGTTCTCCCCGCGCTGTGGACGGAGCTCTCCACGCGCTCTGCCCCGAACGCCAGACCTGCGGCGGTGGCCTGACGGTGCCGGGGTCAGCCCGCCCGGCCTCGTGGTCCGTACACAGGACGGGCCTCCACACCGAGCCTCCGGCAGTGACCGTACCGTGACGGGCCTCCACACTGGGACTCCGGCGGTGACCGTTCCGTGACGGGCCTCCACACCGGGCCTCCGGCGGTGACCGTACCGTGACGGGCCTCCACACCGGGCCTCCGGCGGTGACCGTTCCGTGACGGGCCTCGACACCGGGCCTCCGGCGGTGACCGTAGCGTGACTGGCCTCCACACCGGGACTCCGGCGGTGACCGTTCCGTGACGGGCCTCCACACCGGGCCTCCGGCGGTGACCGTACCGTGACGGACCTCCACACCGGGACTCCGGCGGCACCGATCAGGCCGGCCCGCGCCCAATCGTTGCGCAACAGGCATGAGCGGGCCAGATTCCGATGGCTGCGTGCAGCGTTGGAATGCGGGGCTGCGTAGCGAGCGGCGGACAGGCAAGGCGCGCCGCGCCGCCTTCGAGAGCGCGTGGATCTTCAGAGCCGTGCGGCAACGACCAGGTCGGTTCTGATCCAGCTGCGCCGACCAGACGATAATAAAATGACGCCGATAACTGACATGTGTAACTGGACTTGGCAACCAAGGATGGTCTTCTGTTGAGCCCAACACAGCTGGCTGAGTCTGGAGACTATCCGGGCCTTTTCCCTCGGTCTGAAGACTATTAGGGATGTTTTCCTAGGTCTGGAGACTAGGCCGTCTTCCTTGGTCTGCGACGGCAGGCATGTTTCCCTTGGTCCGGAGACGGTTGGGGCCATTTTCCTTCAGCTGGAAACTGCCAGGTCCGTTCCCCTCGGTCTGGAGACCGTCCAGGCCGTTTTCCTCTGTCTGGAGACCGTCTGGACCCTTGCGAAGGTCGTCGGCCATATCCTTTCGCAAATGACCAACATCTAATTATGATTTAATGCAAAGTCTACCGCGATAAGGCCGAGATGGCTCTCAAATGCAA